CGATGATATCTGGATATAGCCAAATGTATTAAAGCGCTGTTTCGGGAATTTGATGACATAGAAATTGTGAGTTCAATTCCTGATACGAGCAGTGTGTACTTGGCTTCATTGGAAACGATGCGAGTAATAAGTGAACAAAACTAAGTAGGAGCTAATGAGACATCCTTAGATAAGATCAATGGAACAAGAACAATATATTCTCATGTTTCAATGTGTCTTTTACTTAGTTGACTTCAGTCACTCCTAGAGTAACTCCCGCTGTAGATTACTATTGTATTGTCGACCGCTAAATATGGCTTTTGCCGTCTTGGTATTTACACAAGTCCTCTCCACAAGGCGGGATGTGGCACAAGGCCGTTTTTTAACGTGGAGCGATATTGAGCCCGTAGGTTCGGTCAAAAATTTCTCGTAGACCCCGCATACAAGGGGTCTGGTAACTGCCTACCTCCCCAGACGAGACTCTGCCCTCTGGCATAGCCTCGTCTGTCTTCCTGTCTGCCTCCGAGCGGAGAGTTCTACAAGCAGAGTATTAACAAACACATGCTTTGTTGTCTTGTTTTTTTTTATTATTTTTTATCCAAGACCTCCCCAGATGGCGGGCTGTGGCCCAAAGCTAACTATTTTACGTGTGACGATTCCCAGCCCGTAGGCTCGATCAAAATTTGCCCGTAAACTCCGTATACACGTGCTCGTGTAGCTGTCTACCTCCTCAGACGAGACTCCGTCCTTCGGCATATCCTCGTCTGGGTTCCTCTCTGTCCGGAGGCAGACAGGTCGACAAGTAGAATATTGGCAAACCCACGTTTTGCTGTCTTTCTTAGGACCACATTTGGTCCTCACATTTATAGACATGCAGGCGTGTCCACCTCCTCACTCGGGGGATAACATTAAACGTTCAGCCCTGAAGATTAAGCGGATCGAAAAACCTCTGAAATAGGGCAGATAGTGCAACGGTTGAAATGTTGGGATAATAACAACAAAAAATGAAGACAGGAAAATAATGTAAATGAGATCAATAATATATCATCTGATGTAAATGTCGATATTCTAACTATAGAAACCTCACAGCGCCCAAATGATAAAGGACTCGATTCAAGATATCTATTTCTATATTTTTAAATATTCATTTTATGAGTCAGTTATCTCCATGCGGGATACACGCTTAGGCGATCATGTATCTTTCGATACATGACTGACGAGGCAGATTTTTTTTTCTTCCCGCAGTTGCCATTTCTTTCTGTGGTAGACCAGTTGCTATAGATCCCGGTCTTTATTTACCCATAACTGGAGGAGACGAAGATCCATACCTTTTCCAAGCACGTAAGTGAAAGTAATAGATTCGACTGAAATTCGAACTCGGCTTCGCGATTTCTCAATCCAAGCCGATATCCATTACGCCACCGCCTCTCCTATTTACTGAATTCTAACCTCAGATATCAGTGTATCTCAACTGAGAATTGTAATCAAAATTCTAAGACTTGTTTCTTTTCTGCTTATCATTTAAATAACAGCGAATTATGATTATGGTCAAATCTGTACTTGAAATGTACAGAGAGTTATTATTCCTTTAGGTTCTTTCTTATTTCATGTGACGTGTCCTTTCGTGACATAAATGATCATTGCTCTCCATGTCTCCCTATCTCTTGTAAATGTCAGGAATATTCTGTTCTCCTAATTATATCCCTCTTTGTGAATATTCTCCAATCCATTTACGCAATCACTTTAGGTAGGTTACTCGCTGTTTTCCACTGTCACGCTTGTATTCATTATGTCCAAATCACCTGAAGAAGGCCGGCACGTACAATGACCGAAACATCGTGAACCTAAAAATAAAGAGCAGGACAACAGTCCGAACAATGTAAATAATGTAAATAATAACCATACCTCATCTCGGAAATACAGATAGATGTCTTGTGAATGTCTAATTTTACAGGACAATTTTCCTCATTATTGTGTGCCATAAAAATTGATCTGTCTCATTCGCATTTTATGTAAAATTATTCTTTTTTATTTACATGTTCCGTCTATGTTATTCTAATTACCTTATATATAAAAACATCCCTTTTGCATCAAGTTAAATGTTCATCTATAAATATATGTCTCAATATCATTTGTCAATATTTTAGTATTTTTTTAAAAATATGGTTTTGAGTAGATTTCACATGTACAAGAAGTGGAGGCTACTCGAGGCAGAGAGTTACGTTAGGAGACAGTTTGTACGGATAGGAGAGACAGGTGAAGGTTAACCCTAGACTTGAACAAGTTAAAATTGTAGTGATCGAGGAAACATCCTCTTGGGAGTCGGTTTTTCATGTCTACTTATTGATCTTCCTAAAAGCCAGATATAAACTCTGATATCTGAAAGTTTCATTGAAAGCCACATGTTTACTTGTTGACCTGAAAGTTCTTACTTAAAGTCCAGATCTCAACTCAGGGATCCAAAAGATTCACTGAAGGCCACATGTCTTCTTATTGATCTGAGAGGTCTTACTTAAAAGCCAGATATCAACTAAGAGATCAGAAGTATTCACTGAAGGCCACATGTCTACTTATTGATCTGAAAGATCACACTAAAGGCCAGTTATCAACTCAGAGATCTGAAAGATTTACCGAAGGCCACATGTCTATGTATTGATTAGAAAGGTCTTACTAAAGGCCAGATATCACCCCAGAGATCTGAAAAATTTACTGAAGGCTACATGTCTACTTATTGATCAGAATGTTCTTACTAAAGGCCAGATATCTGATAGATTCACTAAAGGTCACATGTCTATTGATTGAGATGAAAGTTCTCCCAAATGACCACATATCAACTCAAAGTTCTGAAAAATATACCTAAGGACACATGAGCCCTTGTTGATCTGAAAGGTTCGCAGCATATCAACAAATACACGGGAAAGACTTCCTCGCAGTCAAACTTCAACGCATAAGCTGAAATAACTATTTGAACGCGACGTGAGAGCATATAGTCTCAAATTTATATAAGATCGTTAAAATTATAGAGAAAAACCGTAGAAATAAATACGAGATATTGTTGAGTATGTCTAATTTTTAGAAGCCGTGAAAGAAACAGTGAATTAATGATGAATGCATATTAATGTTAAAAGCGACTGTAATATATATCGGTTTTGATCACCGTGTTTTACTCGTCAGATTAGAGGTTAATTGCTCCATGGTTAGTAGTCTGATTTCGAAACGATTTTTATTCAAAATGGGTTCTGTTATACCAGTACCAGAGAGACCTATCTATCTATCTATCTATCTATCTATCTATATATATATATATATATATATATATATATATATATATATATATATATATAATTTGTTTACAAGTTATTTTAAATGGATACTTATATCTGAGTAGACGTTCTGTTTTTATATATATATTAAACTTATTTAAATTTACAGCTACTGTCCTGAATATTCAAGAAATCTTGTTACGAAAATATTCGCCTCCGGCATGATTCGAACTATGGTTCTTTTATTTTAGAGTGACATGTATTTGTTACTACGAATAATCTAACCAACTATAAGTTTCATTGCTTAATCCTGTATATAGTATATACAGATTCTCGGCACTTTTGTGCATGCTCATTTTACGCCTTGTGACATATGTGAAAGAATTGAAAGATGACTACACCTGGTTTGTTAGCTTCGCATATATTTTCTTATATATCGTTTACCCTCTCTATCACTTAGCAAGTCTTTTCTAAATCCATGTGCCTTTTACATGTTAATATAAATAATTTCTGCAATGAATGTAGCATTGAAACTCATAGCGAAAATATCACGTAAGTTTATTTTCTACTCAAAAACTTCCCCATATATACCAATTCTAATTGCATCTTCAGTTCAGTCAATTACGTGTTGCAAAGGTTTATATGAAAACGCCTGATTTATTTTAGTGAGCTAAACGGAGCAGATATATATATATTTCGAGGATCGGGAAGATATGTGTTCAAAAGCACTATCCGAACATTGTTTCATCCTACGTGGCCGAGCGCTCTAAGGCACTTTAAATCTAATGATTGCTTCCCCTAGGGAAGTAAGTTCGAATCATGCCGGAGGCGAAGATTTATTATATATATATATATATATATATATATATATATATATATGTGAGTTTGTGACCCTGGGTTTCACGCTTTAGCGATCGTCAGACAAACAGATTAAAGTTTTAAAAAATTTGGGTTTATGTAGATTGCGTGTATTGGTGTTATTGTGGAAGTGGTGGGGGAAACTTCGTCGTTTTGTCATTCATCGTACTAACGCAAACATCGATGTATGCAGACACATATACATACTTGGTCGTCCGTCGGGACTCATACATATATAAACATATGTGGGCAGTTTCGGATATGACATATGTATGTATACGGGTGGTCACAAACTCACATCTATCCAACCAAATATGTTAGCTCTATCTCTGATATTGAGCGCTTTCTAATAAGTACCGCCGCGCATATAATATATAAATAATTATATATATATATATATATATATATATATTTATTTATATTTTATACACTTTATATTATATATATATATATATATATATATATATATATATATATATATATATATATATATATATATATGTCTCTCTGGTACTGGTATAACAGCTAATTTGAATAAAAATCGTAACGAAATCGGACTAGTAAGCATGAAGCAACATACCTATGTTGAGGGAAACAAAGAAGGGTGGATCAAGATTCATTTCAAGTAAGGCGATAATGCCACTAAGATGCACGGGATTACCTGGAGTGAAGTAGAATGAAAATACTTTAGTGAGGACAAAAGGAGAACAAAAGAATATGACTCGGGAAAACAGAAAATTACGATTGACGTTATGCTTAAATTTTTCAATGCTAACTGAACGACGACGATGCTGACCTAACCACCTAATTCTAACAACCTGATATTTATTTTGTCACCTTGCCACACATACTGACGTTGAGTGGCCTATACTTGTTCATATTCAAAGCAGTCTCTTGCTTATGCAGATCTGTCTGAGGGCCCTGCACAGTAATCATAGCAGGTCGACCGACCGGTCTTCCAGAAAAGTGACTGTCGCGTCACCCGACACGACAGCCAATCAAATTGTTGCTTTTAAACCTCCCTCTGCTGACATCGACAGCACGTGATGCACGTAGATATTCGAGTGTGAACTGCTGAAAATCTCTCCATTTATATAATATATTTTTTTAAACTAAAGGGGTTATTCGAAAAAAAAAAAATAATGTAAACGTTATTCAATATTCTGTGTAAAGAATTTTACCGTCAAATGCAAATTTTCAATGTGGCAACTGCTCTTGGGTAAATAATCGAATCCTGCGACGACTGGTGAAAATAAATATTATAAAATATGGGATACTCACGGTTTTACAGATAAAGAAAGAAAAAAAAAAGATGAATGAGAAATGTTCGGAATATATACCAATTTTGCTTGTATATAAATAGTCAACGCATATGAGGAAAAAATATGTGTATGTGTGGTTGAGAGTAAACTCTACAAATCATTATAGTTGTTTTGAGTTGGGTGCACACCGAGCGCTCTACAACTCACGCCATATACCAGACTAAACAAATTGTACTAATTCCACACACACACACACACACACACACACACACACACACACACACACACACACACACACACACACACACATATATATAAATATATATATATAGTTATTAGAATAGATTTTTTTTTGTCACGTGTTCATGGTTATTTTTGGTTTTATCAATAAATACTGTTCCCTAACTTTCCATTTTAGCCGGCTTTACACTGAATATCCGTTTAGGTGAAACCTAGGTAGGTTTGCCTGCCTCCTTAGGATAATGTTATATATATATATATATATATATATATATATATATATAAGGCGGTTATCTACCTCAACAGAAATTTGTTTTGACCACTTGCCGTCACCCAATGACTGGTCACATTCTCGTAGTTTCTTGAGCCCAGTTCTCACTGGGTACCTTCGTTACCCAGCATTCTCGTAGTTTCTTGAGTCCAGTTCTCACTGCGTACCTTCCTTACTCAGACTATGTGTCAGAATAAACTAAGCTGATTCAGTAGTTTAAGAAATTGCTCGTTGAATCTCTGTGTCCATCTATCTATCTATATCTACACACACACACACACACACACACACACACACACACACACACACACACACATATATATATTCAGCTTGCCATATAGGCTACTCTTATCAAAATAAACCTTTAACTGGATAGACTTTATATTCTATAATTCACTTCAATACTACAACGGAAGATATAAAATGATGTCACAGTAAAAATCAACGTAGATATTTATACCACTACAACACGACCTTGGATACTAATATATTTCTATCGACTCGATTGCTGCTAAAAATATACATACATACATACATATGTATATGTGTGAGTATGTGTGTGTGTGTGTGTGATGCTTTGTCAAAAAACATACGTACAACCAAGCAGTCATGCGTAAAAAGGGTTAATTTAGATATTTTACATTTTCTATATCTCAGTATCTAATAAACTTAATTCAGAAAGCCAGATGTTTTGTTGCGACAGTTTTTTTTTTAATGGATAGTTCCTGCCTGTCATGACAATTAGCATTCAGAATCATGGCTTATTGTTTTAACTTAATGGCAAACAATAGCCTCCTAGCAACCTTGATAAAAAAACATAAATATTTTAGTCGCTATCAGACAACAGATTTTTCTCCTGGAAAAAAAAATCTGCGCTATCAATTAGCCGAAGAAAAAGAAAGGGATGTATCTGACAGTATAACACTTAAATTTTAACACAAATAAAAGATAAGTATTAACAAAATGACATATTTAATGGATAGAATCGGGATAAACACAGATGAATATAGATCCAGTTTAAGACATCATCATTAGCAATAGACCTGCAGGAAGCGTAATCTTCGAATTTATGGCGAGTACTCAAACGTAAAGGTTGATTGATTTCATTTTTACGGCTTATGAACCATTTGTGCTTCATTTAAAGCCGATCTCAATTTCGGATTGTTGAAGGTCACTTACAGTATGGGGGTATTTCGAAGCGACCCCGCATCGATTTAGTGACCAGGTTTTCAGCGCAATTTCACTGCAAGCCCAAATGTAATGGGATTACTGCATTTGTACACCATTTTCAGAATAGTGGAATATGTTTGGTGAGAAATTATTTGCTTATTGTTTGAAACATAACTACACAGACTGGACACTTCGGCGGGGTGTAATGATTAGCAAGCTTCTTAATCTTTTCTCCCCATAAAATAGTTGGGTGGACTGGGACCATCAATTGCGTAATATATGCGGAACATTTTCTTGGTCTACATTGGTACCATTGGTACAAATAAAAGTTCGTTTAAATTCCGCAGCCTTCTTTAATATTGTGGCTGACCACGTGCCTCAATTCATGACTATGGTCTGCCCATTCACTGGTACACACTTTCAGGACAACACACAGTGGCACAAATACAATATATATATATATATATATATATATATATATATATATATATATATATATATATATATATATATATATTTGGTTGGATAGATGTGAGTTTGTGACTCAAGAGTTTGTCTGACGATCGCTAAAGCGTGAAACCCAGGGTCACAAACTCACATCTATCCAACCAAATATGTTAGCTCTATCTCTGATATTGAGCGCTTTCTAATAAGTACCGCGCATATAATATATAAATAATTATACATATATATATTTATTTATATTTATATACACTTTTACATATATATATATATATATATATATATATATATATATATATATATATATATATATATATATATATATATAGAGAGAGAGAGAGAGAGAGAGATTGTTTCAAATAACACAGCAATGCATTTCCTGAGTAAAAGTCACCTCCAGAATCACTGGGTCTCAGTTCCATAGATCACAATTGGGAAACGTTAAATATGACAGACAAGGCAAATTTAATTAATATTTTATTTAGTTTTTCAAGCATTCTTACATTTTCCCCTTTGGTGGGAATAAGGGAATGAAAAGATTGTCCATACTGTCCATTGTCCCAAGCGCTTTCGGACACTTCTTTAGCCATTTTCAAGGGGGGTTTGTTTTAGGTGTTGTTAATTTCTCTTCATATTTCAACAGTTTAAGATGTATTTTTTTGTGTTGTTTTGAATACTACTAGGAGCAGCTGGAATTCGTGTCTAAATATAAGTCTATATCTATCTACCTATCTATCTATCTATCTATCTATCTATCTATATATATATATATATATATATATATATATATAGTAATTGTTAGTTATTGGAATTCATTCCGTATACACCAGTTATATACTTGTATATATATATATATATATATATATATATATATATATATATATATATATATATATATATATACGGAATGAATTCAATAACCAACAATTACTATTCTTAAAAGAGTGTCCAATACAAAGTAGAGCAGATATAATTATTTTTTTAAAAACAATTTATAACATTCGCAAGGGGGAAAACACTGTTACGAAAGCTAGAATGACCAATCAAAATACACGAAGGATCGTTAATTAATTTGAAACCTTTAAAACCATTTATTTTACATTCAACATCATCACTTGATAAAACACCGAGGGTGTTGAAACAAAATGGCTATTTTTGTAGTGATTTTATAACATATTTATGTTATAAATTGTTTTTAAAAAATAATTATATATATATATATATATATATATATAACTTTGCTCTAACTATATGTATATGATGGCTCTCTAATCGATTTAGAGCATGCCCACTTTCTTCAATTAACTATTGCTTGGGGCAGATGGGATTACCCAACCGTGGTTAATGCAACCACTCTAAGAAAGCTTCTAATATATATATATATGTAAAAAAAGAAATTATGCTATTGTTTCCCCGTAACTAGACGGAACTAGGCGGAACAGTGCAGAGTAGACAGGACTGTAAAACTTAGGGTAAGCACTTAGACTCCGAAATAAAATATGAAACTGAGGTTCTTACCAGTCATCTTGAGCATTCTTAAAGTGAATCTAATTAGTTGTGTTCAGAGAATGGTATTTTTGTTGCACATGCGTCTACGACTATAAACTTTCTGAGTTAATGGTACTTACATATGACTTGTGGTATTTTTTTTTAAAATTGAATCCGGCAGATGTTATTATTTAACGCCATTTTTATTGGATGCCCATATTTGAGTAGACTCTCCGTTTATTTGTTAAATAGTATTTTTGGGGCTTGAATATTTGAGAAATCTTATTGAATATGCACTCTTCGGGTGGGGGAAACCTTCCTTAAAATTTGACGTTCTTTAGACCATCTCAAAGCAAAACAAAGTCGTTCCTTATAAACATATATATATATATATATATATATATATATATATATATATATATATATATATATATATATATAGAGAGAGAGAGAGAGAGAGAGACTAATTATCTTCGTTAATTTTTTCTATTAATGAGATATTCCGGTGTTATGGTAACAACAGTTATTGCTCTATGTCAAGAATCTCTTTCTCATAATAAATTAATGACTCATTATTAAATAAATGATATCAGCCTACTGGTACGGTTCTTTCATATACATCAAGTCAGTTTTCATTTGATATTTTTACTTATCATAATTTTATATATATATATATATATATATATATATATATATATATATATATATATATATATATATATATATATATATATATATATATATATATATATATATATATATATATATATATATGTGTGTGTGTCTCTAATAAGGTGGCTTTGTGTCAGACGCAGCCACATTTATTAAATAACACAATGTGTGTTTACGTTCGGATATCTATGTAGTTTCCGCGTTCCGAGTTCGATCCTCAGGAATTGCTCAGATAATTTGACATTTTTCTTAATGATTAGTTAATGCACATTCATCTGAATATATACATTTTTGCAGTTACGTATGCACATTTGTACCCTTTTATGCGGGTGTGTCTATGTGTTCTCAGCAAATTTATGCGTATATAAACTGCCGTGTAGTTAACTATATATGCACCATGGTAGTTCACGTATTGTATGCGTGCGTGACGTGAGGGCGCGCGTGCGTGTGTGTGTGCATGTGTGAGCTCTTTTTATTGAAGCGTTGCAAATCTTACGCCAGCTGCACTACTCGTGACGTAGCGATGAGTCAGCAAGTTCCCTCCTCTCTGTCGGTGCCTCTTTCTCCCTTTCACTTTCTAGTTTTTTTTTTCTCTTCCATCTCCCTTTCCCTCTCACCACATCATTCTCTCTCGATATCTTCCCTTCGGCACCTTCTCTCTCTCTCTCTTTCTTTGTCTCTTTCTTCGTCACTTTCTCTAAGTTCAAGTTAAAAACACGGAAGACTGGACTAACAGTTACCAGAAAGTTCTCTCGCCAGATCCCGAAGTCATTTTAATTAATTAATAATATTTTTTATTCTTACTATTATTATAATTATTGTTGCCAACAATTATGTTTTTGACTTTGTACAGGCTACTCTCACAGCAGTAGTTGTTTAGAGTGAAAGGGAAAAGTAAGAAAAAGAGAATGAGTTTTTAATGAGCGGTTATCGTCATCGGTAGCGTCATTTTTTAAAATTCTTTTTCGTCCCTTTCTTTGTTGTTTTGTTTAGTCTTTTTTTTCCTTCTTTTTACAGCGTTTCGCTCCTGAATTTGGACGTTTTTTTAAGTTTTCGAATTCCTCTCCTTTACGTCTTCTGTTTCTCACTTTCCATTTTTATCGAGCAATATTTCGCTTCTTTTCCCCCCGTTTCTTCTTTATCGTCTCTCCCTTCAATACATCCACCTATTTTTTGTTCTTTCTTTCTCTTTCTTTCATTTAACTTTCTTTCTCTTTCTTTCATTTAACTTTCTTTCTCTTTCTTTCATTTAACTTTCTTTCTTTTTTCATTTAACTTTCTTTCTCTTTCTTTCATTTAACTCTCTTTCTTTCTTTCTTTCTTTCTTTCTTTCTTTATTTATTTCTTTCTTTCTTTCTTTCTTTCTTTCTTACAAATTTGACAAGTATTTTCTTAATCGCCGTCTTACTCCCAAACCACCAATCTCTCTCCTCTTCCTCTCTCCCTATCTCTTTCACTGTCTCTCCTTCAGTCATCATCATCATCATCATCATCATCATCATCATCATCGCTATTATTTGATCAAGTTTCGAAGCTGAAACTCTTGGACAATTCGTTTTCCATCCCGTCTGTCATCTACAGTATGTTAGTATTTGAATCTGCAATTCGTTTTGAAAATTCACATGTCGTCTCCTCTACATATGTTATCTCGTCACTAGATTTAATCATTTACCAAAAATAATAGCTTCACACAAACTCTTTCACAAAATACTATACGAAAATATAAAATAATTAAAAGACAACCTGTTCGTAAAACAGTAATACACACACACACACAAATACAAAAAAAAATGGACGCAGGCACACATATTTATATGTGTATATATTCAAGTATACATACATATATAGATAATAAGACGTCGAAAGTTACGGTAATATGTTCATGTTTAGTTGTGTCCTGATATGTCCTTAAACCGATGAACATATTGTTTGAACCGGGGAATATTGCTCAGCTGGTAAACACTTTGGTTCCTTAAATAAATGACGTGTATGCGGACCCCAGGATGACATTTTTCACAACTTAATACCAGATACACTGATACACTCAATATCGATGCTTGTAACATCTTCGTTGTATACGCATATCAAAACGGAATCCCACACCGGGGCAATGCAGATGGGTACACATGCCTACCCAAATATTTAAACACGTGTAGCTGTGTATCGATTCCCGCCAAGACACAAATTGCCGGTAGGAAATCATACGATGTTTTGGGTATTATAGTACGCTGAGAATCATTTACACCTGGTCTGAAATTTCCCTTTTTTTTTCTTTTTACACCATAGGGATATGGTGTAAGATAACAGCCTTAAGAGGTCAGTTGGTCATTTTATTTTTGGCTTTCTTTAAAATATTTTTCGTTCACAAGTTTTCATTTAAAATTTTCTTCCAGAAAGACGTCTCCTTATCAGTCTTTCGCCTCATATCTATCTATCTATCTATCTATCTATCTATCTATCTATCTATCTATCTATCTATCTATCTATCTATCTATTTTTTTTTTTTGCCGACGTTTACTAATCTTAGCTAAATACGACACATGTCAAAAGGTAGGAATAAAAGAATGGAGATTGTGCCACGCTAGTCTTCCAAATCTCAATGCGATATGTGCATTTCAGCCACTAGGCCTACCGTATATTCATTCTTCGTTTTCTATTTCTTTATTTAATTCTTTCTTTCGTTCTTTCTGTTTTTCCTTTCTTTCTTCTTTTTTTTCTTTGTGGACATTAACTAAGCTTAACTAAATACGACACAGTTAAAAAGGTATGAAGAAGAAAAGAAAGAATATGCTACAATAATCTTCCAAGTGTCAATGAAAACTGCACATTTCATCCACTATGCTTACTGTGTATTCATTTTTTCGTTTTTGCTCTTTTTGTCCGTTTTCTTTTTTCTTTTTTTCATTCTTTCTTTCTCGGCATCTTTCTTTATCCGTTTTTCGTTCTTCTTCCATTTTTTTTTTTAGTTTTTCCATCTTTCATCTCTTTTCTTTGTTTTTTTTTCTTTCTTTCTAAGTTTTTCTTTTTATCGTTTTCTTTCTTTCTTCTTCAATTTTTTCTTTCTTTCATAGTTTCTCTTCTCTTCTCTTTCTTTCTTTCTTTATTTCTTTCTTTCTTTCTTTTGCATCTTCGTTCATTCCTTATATGAACATTACTTCGTCAAAGAAAATCTTTTCTTATCCTTTAGTTTTCTATACTGCGAAGACATATTCTATTAAGCTTTTTTCTTCTTTTTCCCTTCTTAAATTTGCTTCTTGTCTATCTCTACGGTTTTGTTCGAGGAATTATTTCTACTAGGCTAAGCCTATATTTTTTGTCTCTCACCAGCATCGTTGCTTGTTATCATCGGTGATTTGATTATTTTTACCGTTTCTTTCTCTCTCTATTAATATAATTCATTCTATGACGATTTCTAAATTGATATATTCACCAAGTATTATTTTTATTTTTGTCTACATCTTAATTCCTTTCTTGTTCCTATCTTCGGACAGAACATTTTTATGTGTATGTCTATTTTATTTAATTCTGTTTCTCCATCTAGAGATTTAAAAAAAAAAAATACTAATTCTCGCCATTCTTTGTTTATATCTTCGATTTCCTGGCCTTCTGCCTGTCTTAACAAAACTTGATACGTGATTATTTTTTTTTATTTCGGGTTATAACCAGTTCATCATTTGTATATGCCAAAAAATGTTTTTCTTATGATTCACTTTCTTTATATGTTTTATTGTTTTTTTTTCTTTTCTATCTTTTACTTCTCGTGCTTTATTCCCAATTCTTTCTTTCTTTAGTGTCATAAATGCATTTTTTATACTTTGGCGTCTACATAAAAGCGATAATTAACCAAACACGTGTCACCCGATCAATAACATGTTTATTGAGTACGGTCTGTATATTTTATTAGTCAAAGCTGTAACTCTATTTCAATCTAAAGTTAGTATCCTATTTTTGACTTAGAAGAAGCATAGCATATTAGATAACTTACTGCCTTGCCGTAAGGTAATGGTCGACACCATACTATTGGAAATGTTATATCACTTCAAGACGTAGCTGGCCATGATTCTCTATTGATATATTTTTGTATTATCTGTTAATTGCTTTGCATCTAGGGGAAAGAGTGGAATGGTTTCCTGATGCTTATTCCACGGTATGGAATCAAGAGATTTCCTACACCCAAGGCTAGAGAGTATTCTCTGTCTTCCTATTTAACATATAACTTGGTGGAAGAGAAGCGACGGATACATGACTTTTCTTTTGGGCATTTGTGCGAAAGTGAATGACATTTCTACATCTCGGGCCGATGTTCGTGACGCCTGTATGTATAGTGGTTTTAGCTTCCACTGAGTGCTCTTGATTTTCTTATCTTTTACCAGACTAAACACATATAAATAGCTTCTTTTTTTTTTATCGGTACTAGCCCATGCAAAGCAGTAAAGACACAGTGGGTTACACAGTGTGGAAGTATTAAGAATGGAGACATTGATAACGAGCGGCAAGATGAAAGAATAATCAGGACGTGATTAGATAGCGATTGACATTGCATTTAGATTTTTGCAGATTAAAGGTGACAGGAAAGAATGGAACCGGGGGAGGGAGTTCTACAAGCGAGAAGTGCGAGAGAAGAAACTGTTATCTTGAAAGTTACGGTTAGATTTCAGCCGATTCAATTGTATATTGATGAGATCTCGACGTCAATCTAATACTGCGAATAAATTCATAATGTTTAGGTAACATAGCGAAGAATTCAACCGAAAAATTACCATGAACATATCTATAGAGAAAGCACAGAGAGACAACCTTGCGGCGGTGGGAAGGAGACTGAAGTCGAGCCACCAGATCAAGACCAATAATATCTCTGATTCTTCTTTGGATTTTATCAAGGAGGTCAACGTAAATAGCAGGGTACCGGACGGTATGTGACAGCAATATTCTAAGCATGGACGAATGGTAGACTTCTGGGAAGTGTTTTGACCGAAGACGGATTAGGATGGCCAAGGATACATTCCAAAAGATTGGCAGAGTACTGCGAGACAGGAGGATTGTTGTGGATTCCGAGATGAATTCGGTCTCCAAGGAATGACAAACGCAATAATTAAATATAAGAAATAAAATGTATTTACACAATCATACAAAGAGTAATACTGTTAGTAAGTCCAGGAACGCGGTTAGTAGCAAATACAGATAGATATATACAGTCTCGAAGTAGGACTTCCTTCGAGTATACGTGCTTGTAACTGACTTCTACAAGAGGTTACCTCACTCTATTTCGTTCGTATATTCTCTCTCTATCCGACTACCCTCACTGACTTTCTAACTCTGGGTATTTAACGGCAGCAGTCCAGGTACACTGGTAGAGTCCATTTATATGAAAAAGGGGTGGACCACATAACAATTTCTTTGGTGACAAAGAAAAGATTACTGCGCTGCTTCGCGACATCTCTCCTCCTATACGGCAGCGAATGTTGGACGTTCTCCCCAAAGATGAAGAAAAGACTCGAGGGAGCGGAGATGTGGATCTAAAGAAGTATGCTAAGGATATCAAGGAGAAAGCATGTGAGCAACGATGAGGTCTTGGAGAGGATGCAAACAAGAAAGAAGCTTATACTTAACACAAGGAAGAGGTTAGATGAAATTTCTGAGACTCGTAATGAGAAAGGATGGCCTGGAGAATCTGATACTCACAGGTCGAATATAGGGAGAAGAGACAAGGGGAAAAAACGCATGACATACCTGACCGGCTTCACCGAGTGAATGCCATTTTGTGTTCCGCCCATTTTCTCAGGACAAAACATAGCACCAAAAAAAAAAAAAAAAAAAAAAAAAGTAACCCAAGAGAAAAAATAAGCCTACTGTTTTGAGGCTTAAATGCAAACTTTCTGGTAAAATCATTATCTCATGATCTCGAAATGTTAATATTCATCTGAGTTGCATCTTTAATTATTACACATTTCAGGTAACGTTATACCGAGGCCTTTACATCTACTGAAACATCTCGTGAGAATCATTTGCCTCATATTTTTTCTGCGTCTGCTTATAATGTAGACAGAAATTTAAATATTTTCCGTTTTATAAGCTCCATCATAGCTACAGAGCCCACACTACCTTATCGAAGCCCGGAAAACAAAATTTCATCAAATGAATCTAAGATATAGAGTAATTCTCGTTACTAATTTGCCTTTGTCAGCTGAAATTATTAGGTTGATTAATGAATTAGATTTGAGTCAATCATATATTCGTCTTCTATGTGCCTACCCCCTTTAAGTCTTTGATTATCATGGCTCTCCATAATTTCTATTACTTTGTAGCCCTTACCAAATTATATATTTTTGTCATACACGTAATGAGAAAGGACGGCTTGGAGAATCTGATACACACAGGTCGAAGAGAGGAAAAAGACAAGGGAAAGCAAAGCATGACATACCTGACGGGCTTAAGCAAGTGGATGGGGGAGTTGGTAGTGGCACGAAACTATGACATAGGGGGAAGTGGAGTGCCATGATCGCCAATGTCCCGAAAGGACACGGCACATAAAAAGAAAGATAATATATTCTAGAGGGTAAAATTGTCTCGCATATCATAGTGGACCAATTTTTTTTTACCAGCTGAACCAGCTATATATTTCTCTAATCTTTGCATTTTTCTTTTCGACTTTTCTGGGTTTATTTTTTCATTTCTCTTTTACTTCCTTTTTTTTTCTTTCTTCTTTTTCTTTTTTTTCTTGCTATAATCTGGCACCTGTTTCCACTTATTTATATATAAAGCAAAGCGCCTTGCTTTAATTTGCCGTACTGACTTTTGCATCAATTAAGATTTCATTTTGTACCGTGTGTCCAACCGAAATCTACTTGTCTGACTTTCGGCCAGTCTTCGTCCTAGCTACTTATCACTCTTGCTTATTATTACGATGGGTAACATTAAGTTTATTTCTAAATTCAGTTCACCGATGACATTTTCTTATGACAGCCAATCTATTTCCATGCACAACATCCCAATCATTCGTTCAATATGCAACCTACTCTAAATAGCCACAGCGTTGGCGTTATATCCAAGCTGAGAGGGTAATATAAGTGTTTGCAACAAGTAGCATCAAGTTTAACAGCGATAATCAAACGGATGATTTTTCCGCTGTTTACTTCATTGGACTTGGTGCTATTAATCTTTTTATACTGGCACAAGGAAGATAAACAGAAATCTCTACTTATCACGTGGCATTTTGCATTCTAGCAAACGTCTGTAGACGTAGAAGGCAAAAAGGTTAATACTTAAATGGATTTCTGGATTTCACATATTTTAAATATCGTTTATTCAGAATGGAGAAATATGTAACTGAATATGCAGGAGAAAATATGCAGCTATTGAAATGTTTAGCAAATTGGAACAAGGTCTAGACGAATCGATTTCAAATTATGGACGTGTTTTTTGCATTCACTTTCGCACAAATACCGTTGGGAGTGATATGATTCGATCGCTTTTCTCCTTAGAGAGTTGCCTGGGATCTATTGATATCTGTCTATGTATCTGAAATGAGGTATAAGGATTATTTATATTATTTAGATTATTCGGACTGTTATCCTCATCTTCATTGCCCTATTCACAACGTTTCGGGTATTGCCTTTTAAAGTATTTCTCAAGCAAATCCAATATGTTCATGTCTTTGAGTTTCTCTGAAACTTCGTCAAATTCTTCGGATCAAAATCCTCAAGTAATTGTATTCTCATTTTTGTGTTTAACTTTGAGAAACTTATTGACCGAAGCCACAAATCCGAGAATAGTCCGAAAAATTATTGGAATAATTTTGATCTTTAACCTTACAACTTAAGGTAACTCTTGTCAGCTAGACAGTTTATATGCCATATGTAATACACGCCTTGTTGACGGCGACCATGTCCCTTTCGATTCATGTCTGACATGGCAGAAGATTTCCCCGCAGTAGGGTGCCGTTTCTTTTTTCTGTAGGAAAGAAGAGAATATTTATTTTGTAAAATTACAAAATAGTGGCAAATGATTTTCTAAGCTTAAGTTAGATCTGGCACAGGGCTGAATGTGTGGAGCATCGAGTGAGGATCGTACCCACTATTCAGCCGTCATTGAAATAGCGAGGCCAGCTTCCTAACCATTACACCATGTCGAAGTGCCCAAATGATTTTCTAATCTTAGCTTAGATGTGGCACGAAGCCGAAAATCTGGATCACCCAGTCGTAATTATTCTAGCGAGACCAGCTTCCTAACCATTAAACCATGTCGAAGTGCCCAAATGATTTTCTAATCGTAGCTTAGATGTGGCACGAAGCCGAAAA